ACATAGTAGTGTGTATACTGTGTACGACATAGTAGTGTGTATACTGTGTAGGACATTGTAGGGTGTATACTGTGTACGACATAGTAGGGTGTATAATGTGTATGACATAGTAGTGTGTATACTGTGTACGACATAGTAGTGTGTATACTGTGTACGACATAGTAGTGTGTATACTGTGTACGACATAGTAGGGTGTATACTGTGTACGACATACCTGACAAGGCCAGGAAGTGTCCGATACCACACGCTAGATCCACCAATTTACTTTGCGCATCCAAATCGTATTGTCCAAATAATGCTGGTGGTATTTTCTGAGGAGTTTCTGCTGATTCCAAATCTGGACCTTTCCCCAGAATCCCGTATCCCCACACATACATATGGCCTTTTTCTACAATGAAATATAAACAGAAATACAGTATGGTTTAATTCAAATCAACTTGGAAGCCTTTAATGCTCACTATAAACTAACGTGTCAACTAACATAACAAATCTTCATTACGTGTTTAAACAATTACATAATACTGAATGGTATAACAAGGAGGCAGAAGTGACAGCATATCTCTCCAATAGTCCCAGTCGCTATCTTTTGACTTCATGACCATGACAGTAAATGGTACCAGCGGTCAGTCACAGGTAGGTAAATAGTACCAGTGGTCAGTCCCAGGTAGGTAAATGGTACCAGTGGTCACCACAGGTAGGTAAGTGGTACCAGTGGTCAGCACAGGTAGGTAAATGGTAACAGTGGTCACCACAGGTAGGTAAATGGTACCAGTGGTCAGTCACAGGTAGGTAAATGGGACCAGTGGTCACCACAGGTAGGTAAATTGTACCAGTGGTCAGTCGCATGTAGGTAAATGGTACCAGTGGTCACAGGTAGGTAAATGGTACCAGTGGTCACCACAGGTAGGTAAATTGTACCAGTGGTCAGTCACATGTAGGTAAATGGTACCAGTGGTCACCAGAGGTAGGTAAATGGTACCAGTGGTCAGTCACAGGTAGGTAAATGGTCCCAGTGGTCACCACAGGTAGGTAAATGGTACCAGTGGTCACCACAGGTAGGTAAATGGTCCCAGTGGTCACCACAGGTAGGTAAATGGTACCAGTGGTCAGTCACATGTAGGTAAATGGTACCAGTGGTCAGTCACAGGTAGGTAAGTGGTACCAGTGGTCACCACAGGTAGGTAAATGGTCCCAGTGGTCACCACAGGTAGGTAAATGGTAACAGTGGTCAGTCACATGTAGGTAAATGGTACCAGTGGTAATCACAGGAAGGTAAGTGGTACCAGTGGTCACCACAGGTAGGTAAATGGTACCAGTGGTCACCACAGGAAGGTAAATGGTACCAGTGGTCACCACAGGTAGGTAAATGGTACCAGTGGTCACTACAGGTAGGTAAATGGTCCCAGTGGTCACCACAGGTAGGTAAATGGTACCAGTGGTCAGTCACAGGTAGGTAAATGGTACCAGTGGTCACCACAGGTAGGTAAATGGTACCAGTGGTCACCACAGGTAGGTAAATGGTACCAGTGGTCACCACAGGTAGGTAAATGGTACCAGTGGTCACCACAGGTAGGTAAATGGTACCAGTGGTCACCACAGGTAGGTAAATGGTACCAGTGGTCACCACAGGTAGGTAAATGGTACCAGTGGTCACCACAGGTAGGTAAATGGTACCAGTGGTCACCACAGGTAGGTAAATGGTACCAGTGGTCACCACAGGTAGGTAAATGGTACCAGTGGTCACCACAGGTAGGTAAATGGTACCAGTGGTCACCACAGGTAGGTAAATGGTACCAGTGGTCACCACAGGTAGGTAAATGGTACCAGTGGTCACCACAGGTAGGTAAATGGTACCAGTGGTCACCACAGGTAGGTAAATGGTACCAGTGGTCACCACAGGTAGGTAAATGGTACCAGTGGTCACCACAGGTAGGTAAATGGTACCAGTGGTCACCACAGGTAGGTAAATGGTACCAGTGGTCACCACAGGTAGGTAAATGGTACCAGTGGTCACCACAGGTAGGTAAATGGTACCAGTGGTCACCACAGGTAGGTAAATGGTACCAGTGGTCACCACAGGTAGGTAAATGGTACCAGTGGTCACCACAGGTAGGTAAATGGTACCAGTGGTCACCACAGGTAGGTAAATGGTACCAGTGGTCACCACAGGTAGGTAAATGGTACCAGTGGTCACCACAGGTAGGTAAATGGTACCAGTGGTCACCACAGGTAGGTAAATGGTACCAGTGGTCACCACAGGTAGGTAAATGGTAACAACTTAAATATTTCATAATAGTGCCAATGGTCATCCTATACAGTAATCTGGTAGTACTCTTTACCTCAATGTTACTGTAGTATAGAAACCAATCTTGGCCCCTTTCGTGTATCTGGTGCAACCAGTTGAAACGATTGAACCTGAAAGAAAACGACAGGCGCAGATCTGAACCGAGGCTGACCTCAGGAATATTCGGCCCAAGTTGATTGAGGGGTCCAGACGTTCCTGACCGAAACTAAAATGCTGACTTTTGCTAGTTATTTTGTAAACAATGTCAATTGTCAATTTAAGATACGTTATATAATTTAGTGGATGCGTGAAAGAAGAACATATTGTTCTTGATATATTGTTATTTATTCTCCTCTGTAGCTCTGTCTACAGTTTGGTTCAAGTGGGTTTGTTTATCATGGAATATTTCTGCACCACCTGAACCGTTTCAATTGGGATACGCAAATGCCACCCTTGTTAAATCTACCTGTTTTAATCTACCTGTTAACATTGCACACATGGATCCTCCAGCGACCGCCTTCTTTACTTTCCCACAGCTGTGCACAGGTAAATGTCTGGGTACATTGACCTGTGTGTGTTCTGTAATCATCGACAGCTGGTTGTATTCCGAGTTTCCCCAACCAAAAAGTTCTCCTTTATCGGATACGGCCAGCACACAGTCCACAGCGCCACCTATGTCCTTCACCTTGACACCTTGAAGGTCACCTTGTACTAGGGTTGGACGGTGCTCAGAGTTATAATGACCTAGACCTATACAATGTAGAGAACAACAACTGGTAACCACTAGGCCGATCTCACTATCCACCAGCTTTGGGTAACGAAGCTGGATAATTAGTGTGATGCAAATGTAGTAAAATGAAATCCTATGTGTGTTAACTTCTGGACTCGAAGTAGGAGATTTTTCTCTCCCACTGAAAGGTGATTTTAATTAAGGTTTTTTATGTTGAAAAATATTAATAAATTAAAGAATGCTTACTGGTATGTTATTACTATTGTTCCATTGTTTCTAAATAGAAGAAACTTACTTATTGGGTTTTTTTTCAATTTTTTGACAACTTAAGAATTTCCAACAGTAAATCCAATCATGGGGAGATTTTGATGCTTCAGAAGGAGTTTATACAGGAGATGTTCCTAGGAAATAAGGAGACATCACATGTATGTGATACATCAAATCTACCCACCTGTCTGTCCATCAGCTCCCATCCCACAGCTGTACAACTCTCCAGCCGCGGTCAGAAACAAGGTGTGATCTTGTCCACAAACAACCTAAATCAACATACAGACATACAACATCATACAAACATACAACATCATACAGACATACAACATCATACAGACATACATCATACAAACATACAACATCATACAAACATACAACATCATACAAACATACAACATCATACAAACATACAACATCATACAAACATACAACATCATACAAACATACAACATCATACAGACATACAACATCATACAAACATACAACATCATACAAACATACAACATCATACAGACATACAACACCATACAACCATATAACATCATATAAACATACAACATCATACAAACATACAACAACATACAACAACATACAAACATACAACATCATACAAACATACAACATCATACAAACATACAGACATACAACATCATGAAAATATACAGACATACAACATCATACAAACATACAACATCATACAAATATACAACATCATACAAACATACAAACATACATCATACAAACATACAACATCATAAAACTATACAACATCATACAAACATACAACATCTCAAACAGACATACAACATCATAGAAACATACAACATCATACAACATCATACAGACATACAACATCATACAAACATACAACATCTCAAACAGACATACAACATCATACAAACATACAACATCATACAGACATACAACATCATACAAACATACAACATCATACAGACATACAACATCATACAAACATACAACATCATACAAACATACAACATTATACAAACATACAGACATACAACATCATACAAACCAACAGTTTACAGGTAAACCATTTGATATACAACATAATGCCAATCATCCTAGCTGTATATATTATACATGTAGTTCTGTAAACTTCGCAATCACATTGGTCGGATCCTATACACGTGACCAGTCCTCAAAAACTTATGTAGACTGGTTATACGGTGAATATCGATTTCTAAATATAGCCTGTATGGAAATTCCCCGGAACCTGTCGTAGCGCATGCGCAGTTAGACTGGAACGTGATCTGTCAGACGACATTAGAAGATGGCTGCTGGCGAACGTTTCTCCTCCGTTAGGAAAATTACCAAAACTATTTGAGGATAAAGATGCTGTTAACGTAAACAAAAGGCCTTGAACATGCAGTGCATTTTCTCCATGCTTACCTTAAGAAAAAGAATCTAGACGATGCCTTCGAAAGCTACAATGCTGTTTTCAGAACTGTTGTATTCAAATGTTCCTGAACCTCAGGCTTTGCCTCAGTCAATATCACTCTTTCAGGTTCATATCACATCATATTCACCAGCACAAAAGTCCATAATTGTATATTAACCGTAGGAAATTAATTGTTTTTTCTTCAAAAATTCTGCATTTGATCATTATGTACAAAATTGTGATATCAATATTTTATAAAAAATTGATTAACTAAATGGCATAATATAGGGAACAATTGAGTATTTGATAAAAGTCTTGAAAGTGTCAATGATGTTGTTACCTTGGTAACGTTATCCGGTAAATCCTTTATCCGGTGGATCTGTGAGCTGTACCTGTAAATACGTACAAAGTTATACCTGTCAATATATTGGAGGATCAAACATTTTTGTATTTTCAAACACTTAACTAACAAGCCATTCAGATTGATATGTCTCGCCTGTGCCCCACTTTGACCATCAATGCACATGTCAGAGAAAATTACTTTAATACAAAAACTTTATGTTGATGGAGATGCGGACAAAGTCAATGAACCATGAAAGGTAGGCCACATCCAGCATTTGATGCATGGGTTGAGATGTATTACTTAAGATGCATCTATGGTCTATAAGTTGGGTTGTTGTTTATGTAAATGTAAAGTGACTGTAGTTGTTTATGTAAATGTAAAGTGACTTTAATTGTTTATGTAAATGTAAAGTGACT